TTGTCACAGCTTGTGCTACACCAAGGGATGGAAATCCACTTAAAGATTCGCAAGTCTCAACCCGTATTAAAAATATTGCAACCACACGTGATTAAGGTAAAATAGGTGACTCTAAACATTTATTTATTTCTTAGTTTTTTGGTTTAGACTCTAGAGACCAGCACATAAAGCATATCAAATTGCTTGTTTATCACAAAGAATCTTTATAGAATGTCGTATATATTGTTATGTGTGGATCTTTTCATGTTCTCTTCGTACTTTTATGTCACAAATTTTGTATGTAATTTTGAATATAAAAATTTATAGTAGTATATATATTGCTCGGAAAATATTTATGAATATGGATCAATTATAAGTAGTTGAAGGACATTTTATTTGGAACATGTTTGTGAGGAATCAACAATCAATCCTGCATCCAGTTACAACCTAAAATATTAAAAATGAAAAATAAATCTTTTAGTGGAGAAAACCAGAGGTAGGTCGTTATTGAAACAAGATCTAGAGCTAGCTAGTTAAAAAATCTATCACATTAACAAACCGACCAAAGCCAAAAACCAGCACCGACACCACAAAATTATAAATGTTTAAAATATATGTTTCTTTCCCCTCTACATATTACAGACATTCTATTTGTTCCCTTATTTTAAAACGGTTGTAGTATAATGTTTCTAAAATTTATCAATTCTCCTAATTTTTAAATTAATCTTTAATTTAGACATTAAATACTTAAAATTTTGTCACTTATAATAATTATATGTGACTCAAACAAGATTATCAACATGATTTAAAAAAAAAATTAGTCTTGAATAATTTATTATACCTATGAAGTATTTTTTTATTTATTCATTTTATCTATGTAAATATTTAATTTTTTTCATTTAATTATTCTAAAGATCCTAGTTTTATATTTATTCTAAGAGATAAGTAAATACATAATAAAAAATAGAAAAATTTAATAAGAAAAAAAAGAAGAAAACCAAATAGGTATCACTCATTTTCTAATCTTTTTTGTCATAAGAGTATGATTCTCCCTAATTTTTCTTGAAAGAAAATTCCAAATACACATGCCTAAACACTTTCATGATCAAAATAAGATATGTATGCTATATGTTTGTTGAAATGTCCGTGGGATTTAGAGTGCTTTAGAGAGTCAATCATGAATGTTAATTAGTAATAGCATGTTCCTTGATATTTAACCATTCATGTGTGATTTGTATCTTTGCACATATTGCTAAATTCGGTCATCTTGCTTTCCTTTCCCATTTGCACTTAATATGAAAATGTTTTGCTTGATAATTTGAGGTTGAAAAGTGATTATATGTGCTTATTTTACTGCTGGACTTTATTGCACATAAAGCTTAAAAAAAACTCAAATTATTGACTCATTAAGCCATCACTAATTGCTAAAAGGATACTCCAAATTTTTGCTAATCAAAATCAAAAAACAAAAGTGTAAAACCCAAGCAAAGGAGGAATATTAATATTAAAAAAATAAATAAAGAAAGTGGATGGACATTATCATTTAAAAAAAAAAAACATGCCAAAACAAGTGAAAAAAAAATGCAAACAAAAGGAATCCTTTGCTAGACTTGTGGACTTTTGGACAATTTTTCCTACCTTAGAAATTGTAGTTATTCTTTGGACCTTTTGACTATGTTTTAGTGGCTTAATGAAACTTTAAAATTTAACATGTTAAGTGCAACATTTTATCAAACACTTGCTACTCAATTCTAGTGTCATTTTAAGAATTAATCTTTTGAGTGCTTCCCTTTCTTAATGTGACTTAATTTTAGTTTTATGTCTTCTTTCTACTCCTAAGTTCTGTCACATTTACCTCCACTTGAGTTTAGCCTTCCTAATTGTGCATTTTTAGTTTTTTTTTTCTTTGGACTCTTGTACTCATGGGTGGTTTCTTCTTGATCTAGGTGTGAAAAGCTCCTAAATTCATCATATACATTTTCGGTGAATTGATTGGAGGAGTTGTCTGATTTGACTCCAAGACCTTTGGAAGGAGTTCTACCATCAAAAAGAGTGAATACACCATTGAGATGATAACCTTGGGTGTTCCTTGTGAAGGGGTGGAGAATTGAAGACTAGAAGATCTACTTTTATAGTTTACATTTCTCTTTTGCACAATTTCTTTTAGGCCACTTGTGTTCTTGGCCTTTATTTCTTTGTTTTTTTTTTGTTTGTAATTGGCCTCTTTAAACCTGTTAGTTTTAGGGTAATTCAAGTAGTGCTTGTGGGAGTGGCTTGAATACCACCAAGGTCACTTCAAGCTCCCACCCTAGGGAATCCGACTAGCACATGCTTTAGTTGCTTTCTTTGCATTCTTTAGTGCTTTGGTAGTATTAGGTCTTTTAATTTAATTTTTTCGTTTTAGAAGGCATTAATTTGCCTACTAGGGGGCCGTGCACACACACACACTTAATTATTGTGCAAAAATTGTTTTTTTTTTTAAGAAAGTGTAAAAGAGCTTAGTGATTTTTACTTGAAAAGGCTTGGTTTTTAAGTGATTCATAGTAGTCCACCTCCCTTGATAGTTCAATTTGTACACTTAGGCCTTTTTATACTAATCTTGCACCTTCAAATACTTGTGAAACTTTTCATCACTCACTCTTTGTGAAAACCTTTTTGAGCCAACCTTTTGAAACATATTTGTGAAAACCTTTTCTTGATCAAAGCTCTCCGTTAGCAAAGAGGCTAGGCCGATTGCTCAACGGCGCCGGAAAACGGGGGAAGAAAGAAAAACCGCCATCGAAGCAGAGGTGACCAAGTTGCTAGACGCTCAGTTTATCCGAGAGGTGCACTACACGACTTGGCTGGCTAACGTGGTCATGGTTAGAAAGTCAAATGGGAAATGGCGTATGTGCACCGATTATACCAATTTAAATAAAGCTTGCCCAAAAGACGCCTACCCACTCCCGAACATCGATCAGCTCGTCGATGGGGCATCCGGCCACAAATTTTTGTCTTTTCTGGATGCTTACTCGGGATACAACCAGATCCGGATGCACCCCCAAGATGAAGAAAAAACTGCATTCATCACCGAAACAGCCAATTACTGTTACCGGGTGATGCCGTTCGTATATTAAATGTGAATTTTGTAAATTCAACCGTTAGAGTGATTCTAAGCTTATTCTAATGCTTTTGAAAACACCCATATTGTTTCTTAGGACATTTGTGGAAGATAGTAGGATTGTCTCTCACCTTACTCGCATGTGCATTTTTTTTAATCCTCATATTTATAGAGAGAGAAATCAATGTACAGATAAGTTAGTTAATTTTGATTTTAAGCATAAGATTTTTTATAAGTGGTGACCTATTTTGCCTTCTTCTGTTTGGGAGTTTTTTTTTGTGATCATTGTAATTTACCTTTTTTTCATTTTTGTTGATTTCTACATGGTTTCATTATAGTCCTCTCATGTTATTGTTACTAATTTTCTCTTTATATATTATATATATATATATATATTTGGTGTGTTGTAAATGCTTGATAAACTTTGGGCTGTCAACCTTATTGGGATGAATTCTATAATGATGCTTAACACACTAAGCCTTTTATTGAAAAAAAAAATAAAAAAAATAAAAGGGATATAATTGTATTAATATGTAACCCCACAAGTTTTTAATTGAGAACTTTTGCTAATGCCTTGCATTAATTTGGTCAGTAAGTATGACCATTTTATTTTTTTATCTTTTCTTTCTTTCTTTTAGCTTAGTTATTTAAGTCCTTATTTAAACTTGTTTCCAAACAAGGGATAAGTTTGTCATGAAAAGTTTCACTAAGTTTTACTATGACTTGCCCAAGACCGAAACAATCTAATAATGTTTTGTACCTTATTCCTCATGAAGCCTGTGTTATTATATATATATATGCACTCCTACATTGAGATCTCATTTTTTTTTTGGGAAAATTTTCAAAGTCAAAGAGTGATTAATTATCTACTCTAATTTCTGCTATATTCAAGAAGTAATCTAATTATCAAGACAATATCAAGCTTATATCGACTTAAAGAGATAGAATTGGTGATAACATAATTAATATCTAATAAAAGGATGCAAATGCAATGACATAGAATTCACAGTTAAAGACTAATTTCTTTAAAGAAATATAAATTACTACAATGAGTTTTATCTCTTCGATAATTTTTTTTCTATATGCATAAACATAAAATCAAATCATGCTCACATATTTAAAAAAACTTAATTATCTACTAATCTTCTTAGTATTGCTCTAAAAATAATATTGTGAAACAAGCGCTTGAGTAAAATAAAAAATATTACATCAAGAAAATTACTTTTACATCATTTTGATGCGACACATAGTTGTGAATTTTTGAATGGCTGAATGGCAGAGTCAACATTGTCCTATTCTTGTAATAAATTCTCATAAAGAGTTCAAGGCCAAGCAATTTTATTCCAGTCCATTCAACACTTTACAAATTAGATCAGAAACATTATGCATCAATCCTTCGATGTCATGGTTGATTCGATGATAATACAAAAGGGATTTGCAATGCACCCGAAAGTCAAAAACTTTCACAATTAGAAGCATGAATCAAAAGTTATTAAAATGTACGAAATTGAAAAACATAAAATAAAAAGAGCTAAAAAGTACGAACAGACCGTACACAAGCACATTAAGGTTAGGAACTCCTGTAACACAACCCGAAAAGTAAAAAACAAATCAAAGAGATAGGAATGAAAAGAAAAATCAAGAAAGCTAAAATAGTGTGTGATTGATTAATCAGCTTGGAACCACATGTTACGTGGGACCAAACATATCAAATAACGATCATTTGCATGAATTGTAAGGCAGTTAACGCTTCACAACCAAGTCGTACAATACAGCCTAATCACACCCTCTCAAGAGTTGGTGCTTTCATATAATACATATCATATCATTTCATAAATCTTATCAGCGACCTATAATGCACTAACCCACATAACAATAAACACAAAAAACAAAAAAGGCAAAATTTCAAAGGCGAAAAGAGTTTCCCAACGGAGTGCATAATCTCCGACGAACATTAATTCACTAAAATTCATAAATCGTATGAGATTTACATACAAGCTAAACAATAACAATAATAATACACTTTCTGTCATTGTAATTTGTATTTGTATTGCAAATTCAACATTCCCAGCCAAAGCATAACGCACTAGGATCGATCACGATGAAGATTATATAATCAGGACCATACTGAAACAAAAGAGAATTTTAATATTTATGGTTAATATTGATATAAAGTATTTGTGGTTATTATTATTATCATTATTATTAATATTTTATAATTAATCTACAAAATTTCAACCTCTATACAAAGGAGAACGCTCCTGAACCACTTTAGAAACCTTGTTATGCCGGAAAGCCTTCATCGGGCTCGGAAAGAACCACCCTCTCCCCTTCGTCCGCGGTCTCAATTCCCCGTCGCCGGAAACCGCCGTCACCGCCACCGACCTCGACCTCGCCATCACCGGCTTCACGCTCGCCTCGCCGTCGCACTCCTCCGCCAATATCTTCTCCTGCTCCGGCGCGCCGCCTCTGCCGCTCTTCTGCGACTTGAACATTGACCAGAACGACCTCGCCGACCTGCTTCCGTTAAGCGCCGGCGAGTCCCTCGCGCTGTCGAGATCCGAAGCGCCGCCGCCGGAGAAGCGCGAGCGCGAGCGGAGAAACGGAATCGCCATGGAGCGCGAGCGGCGGAGGCCTGGCTCCTGCTCGATGAGGTTGTGGACGCGGCCGACGGCGTCGCCGGCGACGGAAAATCTAGAGAAGGAGGAGGAGGATGAGGAGGAGGAGGAGGAGCTGGTGGCGTAGCAGGAACAGGGGCGCACGTTAGCACAGTCAGGGCAGAGAGTAACGAGACGGTCGCGAAGACAGATAGGGCAAATTCCACTTCTTCGTCGCTTGGATGGATGCTTCGGACACTTCCACACCTCTTCTTCGTCCAGGTACAACGCCATTTTCTTTCCCTTTCACCTTTTTCTCTCTGTTTTCCGCTCAAAAATCAACCCTTTTTTTTTAATTTTCTTCTTCTTCTTCTATGTTCTATCCTTTGTTTTTGTGGTGAATTATGTTTCTTTCTCTCTCTCTCTCTCTCTCTCGGCTCTCGCATTCATAGGGAGGGTGAGGGATTTAAAAGGAGCCGAGTTAACCATGGTTAGATTTATGACTTGGCAGTTGAACCGGGGTTAGTGACTGTTGGGGCCTTGGGGGAAGCAAACGCCGCGTTTTGGGTAACGGCTGGGTTAGCGGCGTTTTTATGATTTGGTCCTTAATTGGGGTTGGGATTAACGGGAAAGCCATTGGTGAGGTTTTTTACGAAAACTGAAAAGGTGAATGTGATTGTTGGGAGTGTTGACACTTGACACCTTCGACCTTCTATGTTGTAAAAACTAATGCAGACACAACGACCGCATTTTCACATCTGAGATGGGACTCCAAAGCAACCCAACAACTCAGGACAGGGCCCACCCCCCAACAATATTATTACTTAATAATGCACACATTCAAATCAAAATTAACCTAACAACTAATATTTCTATATTCTTTTTATTCCATACCATTTCCAATATATTTTCATAATTTACTCCTTATACAATTTTAATTCGTTCTCCAAATCTGGGACCTCTCAAATATTTATTAGGTTCCAAAATTCAATATCAGAATAATAATATTAATATACAGATTGTCAATCATTTAAAATTTTAGGACAAAAATCATGACATTCATAAATATTTATTTTAGTCTAAATAAGGACCTCTAATTCTTAAAAATTATTAATTATACACTTATAAAATATTTTGCTCATAAACAAGCACTAAGTTTACTATAGTAATTTTTTCATACAGGATCAAATATAAATCACAAAGTTGAAGTGAAAAATGAAAAACAAATTAATTGATCAATTAAATTATATCAATAGTTAATTTTAATTCTGAAAATTAAACTTATCGTAAAATGAGTTTATATATGTGTGATGCCTTCTCTAGAAAATTGATTAAATCAACATTGTAAGCACCTTTAATAAAATTTTAAAAAAATAAGATTTAGTACCCACAAGTGGATGATTTAAGTAGAATTAGACTAAAATCTTTTCAAGGTTTTGTATGTGTGTATTTGGAAACATGCCTTTTGTTCTTGAGGTGTGAGTTTCTACATGATTTGGTGCCACTCACGTGAAAAAATACCAATAAAAATACATGTGTTTGTAACGCAATACGCTTTTTGGGTTTGAGTTCTGTTTCAGTGGTAGGAAGGTCGTATAACCAAATCATTTAAAAGAAAGTATATTTAGTTAATTGAAAAAATCTACCTTCAAACTAAGGATAGCAAATCAGGTGAATGTAATTTGTTTAGACTCGCTTTATCATCAACTAGTTCAAAAATGAGTTAGATTAGGTTGGTCAATCAAATAAGAAGGAAATGGACATCTTTGTCCATCTCATCTAAGGACATCTAAGGATTACTTGGTAGTTTGAGAGATTAATCTGTCAAAAAAAAAATTTAGAAAAAATTATATATTTATTTTGAATATCTTTTTCAATATTATTTTTTTAAAATATTTAAAAGATCCAAATAAATTAGTGCATTTAAATAATAAATTTAATCTTAAATTATAATAGATTTTGTTTGATTTACTTTATAATAAATTTTAAAATTATTATATAATAAAATAGATATGTAATTATAGTAATAATAATAACTCTTTCAACAAATTCTCAGCACAAAAAATCTCAAATTACATATAATAAAAATGCATAACATAATTATTGCACAACAAATAGCATATTTTCACATAATAAATCTCATGTAATTTATTTAAACTCAATGTTAAAAATAAAAATAAAAAATAAATTAGATAGATTGATTGGTCAATCTACCCTACTTTACCATTTGACTTAGTAGACAAGTAGGTTAGGCAAGATAGGTTAAGTAGACTAGAATGCATAACTTGATCTGTCAATTTTTTACGAACCAACAAGTTTCACGGACAAGGACTGTTTTGTCATACTTACCTTCAATAATAAGAATCTTTGCATTTTAACTTCCTTCTTGACACTCTTTTTTAGGGTGGTTTATAACATGCTTCACTCTCCCTACAAGACACGAAATATCAATAGTTATCTTATCATTTTCTAAAATCAAAGTATACAAGTCTTGGGTAATTGTCATACCAGTTAACCTCTACATGGTTTATGGTGTCAACATTTAACTTAATGCTTAGTTTAGTAGATCCCCTGTGGAATGAGTTAATAGTTGGAGGAGGTCATCTTAGAGTGTGTTTGACGTGGAGGTGATTGACCCAAAAGTGATCAATCTTGGATGATCAATCGACAAGAAACCTAGATGGTGTACAACTCTTCAAGCTTCAAAAACAAAGATTTGCATAAATCATATTGATATCAAATTGAGCTAAAGGTTAACCTTGAGCTATCATGTCAAACTAGAGACCATACTTAAGTTGTAAACAATACAAGTACTATAAATGAAAAAACATTATTTAAAATAAACACCTTATTAAAAATGACTGATTAAACTTCTCAAAAAAATTAGTTGTTAACAATGTAGATGATTATTTTATATCAATAATATGTTAACTTAAAAAGAGAAATGATTTAGCATATATTAGTTTCATGAAAGTTATTTTTTAGTTTATAAGTAATGATAATTTTCCATTTTAAATACGATATTTTAAATTTGAGTGTTTTGAATGGAATATATAGATATTGCGAAAACTTTGACTTAATCAACATTTAGAATATTCTTAAATGGTTATGGTCTGGAATTGAAAGACAATTATTTTTGCGACAGATTAAAAAGATATATAAAAATATTAAAATGACAAATTGCATTTTACATTATAAAGTATTGGTGCATAAAAGCTTTTGAAAGCATGCAGAGCCCTAAGGTCAAAAAAGTTAATACGAAAATTCTTGTGGGAGAAAGCATTCCTATGAAATTCAACAAAAGTACGCAACAACTCCAAAATGGTCAAAGGCATTGAATAACCGAGTTTCTTAAATGTTTGGTTGAGCGTGTCTACGTGCACGTGCAAAGACAACAAACAACGGAGTCATGATTCATGAAGGAGCAACATCTTTTTATAAAAAAGTTAAATGTCGTTAATTAGCTAGTCTAGGGGCACCATGCTTTAGCATTATTAAATAGTAATACTTTGTCAACCAATAATGTCGATATTTATCAGCTCATTGGTAATAGAAGGCAAAAACTTGAAAGGGGTAGATATTTTGTAAATGAAGCAAGGGTAATAGCGGAAGTGTAGAGGTAAGTGATGCAAAGAAAGTAAATATTTATCGATGGAACATGTATGAAAATAATTAATTTTGCCCCCACATATTAATTGTCAAGATCGAAGCTTTGTTGTTGTGCCTATTTTTGGACAATGATTTTCTTTAAAGCTTTGTTGGGTGGTCTTTTCAGCGGGACGCTTGCGGTAAACGCTTTAATACTTACATTTCCATGCTTTAATACATCTTCTTTGTGGTTGTGGGGGACGTCTTTGTTTAACGCATGTAATCAAACCCAAATTAACACGCTTTCAACTTTTTTAATCTCAATATCTTTTTTATCTATTAATAAAAATTTAATTTAACACTAACGAGTTTATAAAATTTACACACCTTAATCAATCAACCGAACTAGGCCTATTAATAGTATTAGGATAAAATATGTTTTTTATTTTTTTTTAAATTTAATTTTAGTTTCTCTGAAATATTTTGTTCTATTTGCTCCCTCTAATTGAAAGATGTATCACTTTTGGTCTTCAAAATAGTTTATATAGTACTTTATAACCATTTTTAAGTGCTATCTAAATCACATTGAGAACTAAAATTGGTAAACTTTCAAATTAGTAAAATATTTTTTTAGAAAGACAAATATTTTAAGGAATTAAAAACATATTTTTTCTATAACATTAATATGGTGTAAACATGAATAAAAACATCAAAAGATCTCTCTATATTATATTAAGGATAACAAGGGTCTTTTGTTGATATAAGGTGTAATAATCTAACAGATCTCTAAATTTTACAACTCAACATACTAAGTAATAGAAAATAAATTTATTTACCTAGGATTAACATGCAAACAATCTTTGAGTATACATATATATATGTGTAAAATTCATCAACTGAAAACATAAATATAAACCCCTCACTAGGACCATAACTATGAACTGTACACACACGTATATACAATAACTTAAATTGAAAACATAAATTCTAAGTTGTTAGTCAAGTAACTAATCTATACAAACTACAAGAAGTAGCCTCCAACTACAAAAGAAGTGTCATCTCCACATGATACTCTAGCAGCTAATCCTCTAACTTAGTCTTTCC